TTCACCACCCATTACTCTTAAAAACTCTCCTTCCTTCCACAGACCTCAAGGGAAAAGCCACGAGTCATCTTGTCATGGCGTAAAACTCTTTCCCCTCCAGCTAAAGGTTAATTTACTCCTAAAAACTGAGCGTCAGGGCACTAGAGGGATGGCTCGGCAGTTAAGAGCACTTGCTGCTCTTGTAGAGGACCTAAGTTCTGTTCCTAACATCTTCATGGCAGCTCACAGCCACCTGCAACCCCAGTTCCAGGGGACCCAATGCCTTCCTCTGGCCTCCATGGACACTAAGCACATACACGGTACACATACATATATTCAGGCAAAACATTCATACGGATAAAATTAAAAGAAGTAAATCTCGAAAACAAAACGAACAAAAGAAAAAACCCTGCACATCATTCTTGACAAATATTTCCCCCTGGGCTAACGCTATATCTCAGGGGTAACACTCTTTCTTAGCATGCATGAGGCCCTGGATTCTACCCATAGTACTGAAGACAAACAAGAAAGAAAACCTTTATCTTTCAAACAAAGCACAACATAGATGCTCAAAACGTTTCCTAAGGTTTTTCTCAGGGAAAAGCTGAGATTCTAATAACATTGATCTTGAAGATGGCGAAAGAAACAATGGGAAGACACAGGAAATGCTGGGTTAGAGATGTCACTCCAGCCTAGAAATACGAGCCTCACGATTCAAGACAGGAATTCCAGCAAGTATGGCGGGGAGGGCCGGAAAAGGGCCTGGAATCAGGGTGACAGACAGCTTGTTTGGCCGCTCTCCACAACACTGGGTCAGGGATGAGATCACAGGGCCCCAAGGTTCCTCTGACTCTATCTGCTCTCTCAGCTCCCAGGCAGGAACAAAATACATCTTGTGAGGAAATGCAATGCCAGTGACAGAAGAGGAATCCAATATTCACAAGACCCAGGGGAACCTTAGCTCAGCCGTGAGGCTCCATGCGTAGGAAAATGTGGGAGAAAGCCACATTCTAGAGCCTACACAATCCTGTGACGTAAGGATGGTGGCTCCCCTTCCGTGGTGAGCAAAGTTCAGTTGTGGTTCTATGTACAGAAAAGGAGGGCATGGAAGAGCCCTTTTGTGGTTCTGTTCCACAGTGGTGATGTCCTTCACAGTCTGTCAATTTTAGAAGGAAGTGAAGGAGGGAGGGGGGAGGAAGGGAGAGGGAGAGGGAGGGAGAGAGGGAGGAAAGAAAGAAAAGTGCTTCAAAGGATACTTTAAAATTAAGAAAGTGATAGAGGGTTGGGGGGATAACTCATTGGATTAAAGTTGGAGACCCAGAAACCATGTAAATGGCATCCCACCTGTAATCCCAAAGTGGTGAGCTTCCGGTACAGTGAGGAAACACCGCCTCAGTATATAAGGGGAAGAGCAATCAAAGAGGCCTCCCAATGACAACCTTGGGTTTCCACATGCACACACGGGTACATGTATGCGCACACACAGCCATACACACCACACACGTACGTACATGATGGGGAAGGAAAAGACAGTGACAGCACGCACTTCCTCAGCATCTTAGCAAGCCTGCAATGCTCACTACGGCTCTCTGAGCTTCTCCCGCCAGCCAAGGACACAAGAAGGACGAAGACAAAGACCTGGGGACAAATCCAGAGCCCAAGAGCAAAAACAGAAGAGATCTGAAGGCCAAATCCCTTCAACACAAGCTCAGTAACCTAAGCTTGTTTGGAAACACCACTTGGGACAAACCCTACATTCCCCATGGTCAACGCCGCTGCAGTCTGTGTCTAAAGACGGTGATTCTCTGGTTTGGGTGACCCTTCAGGAGTTTCTCAGTAAAGGGCTTATCAAACTGATTGCAAAGCACAGAGCTCAATTAATTTATATCAGAAGTATAAAAATGGAGATGCCCAGCTATAAATGCATGAGTAGGAAGAACTCACCACATATTTGCAAATGTAAACCTCCTAAGAATGGGAAGGGGGGCCGGGCGGTGGTGGCGCACGCCTTTAGTCCCAGCACTCGGGAGGCAGAGCCAGGTGGATCTCGGTGAGTTCGAGGCCAGCCTGGGCTACAGAGTGAGTTCCAGGACAGGCTCCAAAGCTACACAGAGAAACCCTGTCTCGAAAAACCAAAAAAAAAAAAAAAAAGACTGGGGAGGGGGATGTGGGGCTGATATGGTGCTAAAGTACAGCATCCAAGGGGACCCAAAAGACAGAGCGTCTTGACTCAGGAGGAGATGTATTAGTTACTTTTATCACTGCTTTGACCAAGTGTCTGACAAGAAGCAACCCAAAGCCTACGGAATGATGATGCCCACATTTCGGGTGGATCTCCCCTCTTCTGTTACTCCTCTCTGGAAACACCCTCAAACAAGCTAAGGGGTATATCTCATAGGTGGTTCTCAATCCACTCAAATCAACAGTGAAGAATAACCATCACCAGCAGCAAGTGGTGGGAGGAGTCAGGTAAAGTCGGTATCACTAGCAGAACTGTCTGGGCGGCTTTCCCCAAGTCCCACTCTTCTCCCCCTGGAGATCTGGATGTCAATGGAGAGCTGAGAATGCAGAGAGATGTGCAGATGTGGAAAGTGGAAAAGTCTAGATGCAGAAGAGTTTGTTTCTGTCAGCAGAAGCATCATGGCTGGGTATTCTATTTGCACATCACTGAAACTATAACAAAAGACACAGATACGTGGGCATTGGTGTTTTCTTTTTTGGTTTTCCGAGACAGGATTTCTCTGTGTAGTTTTGGTGCCTGTCCTGAATCTTGCTTTGTAGACCAGGTTGGCCTCCAACTCACAGAGATGCTGCTGGCTCTGCCTCCCGAGTGCTGGGATTAAAGGCGTGCACCACCACCACCACCACCCGGCGGCATTGATGTTTTCTAAGGGACTGTTCTGGAGGACTGGCACTCTAAAATTACTCATATTTGGATACTGAGAGTTATTAATCAATGCTTCTCCTGCTAACTAGACTGGCCCCAGACCTGAAACAGCACCCTGCTATAAGCTACCTACAACACAAGAAGGGAGTGTATGAACTCAACTTTTAAAAGCTTTTTGTTGTTTGTTTGTTTTTTCTCTCAAACATCCAAGGCAGGAAGATTCTGCTATGCACAGACACCCACAAGTTTTAAGAAAAATCCCCACAGACTAGATGGAGAGGGTGATACTGGAACAGGACAGGGTGGCTAGGAGATGCCAGGACCCCACCCACAAGAAGCCTGGCCAGCTCCTGCAGCAAGCTGTCATTGCCTCATGGAGAGGGGACCTGTCACCAAGGCTGGTCTGTCACCTGCAATGTCCACCCCAAAGAGGCATTGACCTGTTCCCTTGAGTTGACCCAGTGACCTCCACACCTTCCCCCAGCCATCCTTCAGAGGACCACTTCCCCCACCCCAGTCCAGCAACACTAGACACTCAAAGCCACTGTCTTTCCCCAAACCAGGTGAGCAGATGAGGCTGGACAGTGACATCAGGGTGAAATGGCCTTGCTGGGGTCCAAGTCAGGTCCCCACAGAACAAGTCTGAAACTGCTGACGTGGGCTCCTCCTTGTCACGGCTGTTCTCGCTGCACCTTCTCCAGCCAGCCCCTGGGGACTCCTAGAACTCTGGTGGGTGACTGTGCGTGGTACAACTTTCCTAACCGAGATTCAAGGCATGATAGAAAAAGTCTGGCTTGGTTTGTTTGGTGGTCAGGGTTAAACTTGGTGTTTCGTATGTGCTAGACAAATCCTTTGCCACTGATCCATTCCCAGATTTTTGTTTTTTGAGACAGGGACTCACTAAGTTGCTCAGATTGGCCTTGAACTTGTAGACTTCCTGCCTCGGCCTCCAGAATAGCTGGAATGACAGGCCTGTGCCTCCAGAAAGTTGACTCCTCACCCCTTCTTTCTTGCTCTGCTGTGTGTGTGGTATACAATGTATGTTTACATTGTGTGGTGTGTGGCATATGGTGTATAGTGTGTTGTGTGTGTGTGGTGTGATGTATGGTGTGCAGTATATTATGTGTGTTCATGGGATTCAGTATGTGGTGTGTGTATGTGTGGGTATGGGGTGTGGTTATGGTGTGTAGTATGGTATGTGTGGTGTGTACATTGTGTGTTTATGGTGTGTAGCATGTTTCATGTGTGGTACTACACAGCTTATCTCTGTCTTTCATTGCACTAGGTACATTCTTCTTCTGTGATGAAAAATCTATTCTGAAAGAAACAAGTCAATTCACCCTTCAGATCTTACCTCCACCAACTTGTGACAAGCTAAGTAGGTGTCTAACAACCCAAGGACCTCTTTCCCTGTCTCTAGGCACATATGCCCTATATGTACAATACAATGCACACCACATACTACACACCATAAACACACGTGAGTAACATACATCACACACAATACGCTTTGCACTCACAATTCATAATGCACACTCACACACACACACAGCACCAAATGCCAGATGCATATCACAAACATACAAGATAATGAACAGCATATACTGCTAATTATCACACCACATACCACACATAACCATAAACACACTACAGGCCACAAGTATACAACACATAATGCACCATATTCTACACATACAACACGGACACACTGTGCACTATATACACACACATACACAAACACTATACACCACAAACACGCCTCACGGACACACTGTGCACTATATACACACACATACACAAACACTATACACCACAAACATGCCTCATTTACCAGAGAGAGAGAGAGAGAGAGAGAGAGAGAGAGAGAGAGAGATCCTTATCACTTTCATTTGCACCCCACACTCTGACTCCTTCAGTGATTAAAAGCTGACGGAGTTTCCCCTCGGGCATCAGGAAAGAGCAGCACCCTTCTTTCCCAGTTGCCTGATCTGTCATTATTTGCCCTCACGCAGCCTGTGTCAGGGCAGCTCCTCAGCATGCCGGCTGCTTTCTCCACAGACTCACAGCTCCCCTTTTACCACCAGCCACTGGACCTGATGGGCTTTGGAAGGAGCTGCTCCCTCTACAGACTTACTGACGATCCTGAGGTCTGTAGCAGGGTCTCTGGAAGGGATGTTGGGGCTGGAGAAGGAGGAGGGAGGGGACGAGGAAACGTTGTAGGTAGAGAGACATATATATCCTGGATCGGATGAATCACCCGCTTCCTGTAATTCTATTCCTGGAAACAAAGAGGAAACCCTTCTCTTGCCTGAAAGAGAGTCAATGCTCAGTGTAACTCAAACTCCAATCATGAAGACATGCCCAGGACACCCTCTGACATCCCTTTTGTAAATGAACAAAATGTGAAATGACTACTTTTTTTTTTATTTTTTTTTTTCCCAGACAGAATTTCTTTCTGTAGTCCTGGCTGTCGTGGAACTCACTCTGTAGACCGGGCTGGTCACGAACTCACAGAGATCCACCTGCCTCTACCTCCCAAGTGTTGGGATTAAAGGTGTGCACCACCTCTGCCCAGCTTGGAATGACTACTCAATATTCTGGAAATTGGTGAAACACCATCAAATTCTGGAAAGTAAAAGTAGTAGCAAAGTAAATGCTTCCTCCTTGAGATAACACGGTAGTAAGAGCCAAGAATGAGAAATAAGCCGGAGAGACAACTCAGAAATTCCGAGCACTAGCTACTCTTAGAGAGGACCGAGATTTGGTTCCCAGCACCTGCATGACAGCTCACAACCGCCTGTAACTATAGTTCCAGGGGATCAGTGGCCTCTCCTGGCCTCCTCCATCACCAGGGATTCATTGCATGTACGTGCATACATGGAGGAAAAATATTCATTATAGGGAGGAGCAAAAACCTGGAGTGAGTGAAGTCCTGGGCGAATGGGCTCAGCCATGTCAAGGACCTCATAGTCTCAGGAGCAGAGAGATGGCAACACCTTCCTGTAGTTGAAAGTTTCTCCGGTCCACCCGGCCCCTCAGTCCTCAGTCTGATAGCTGCTTATAAAATAATCACTCAGAGGCTTATATTAATTACAAACTGTATAGCCAATGGCTTAAGTGTCTGGCTAGCTAGCTCTATCATCTTAAGTTAACCCATTTCTATTCATCTATGTTTTGCCCCATGGCTGTGGTGTCACCATCTGCTGGCATGTTGCTCCATGGGCAGTGGCCGGCGTCTCTCCCACCTTTCTTCTTCCTGTCTCTCTCTTGGATTTCCTGCCTGGCTATAACCTGACTCACCACAGGCCAGAGCAGCTTCTTTATTAACCAGTCATAGCAACACATATTCACAGCATACAGAAAGCCATCCCACAGCACTTTCCTCCAGGGACCAAGTGCTAGTATTGACAGAATGTGCAGAAAATGTCCACCATAGCTTCCCCCCCCAATAGTTTCCCCCTGAAGACTGTTCCCCTACAGAGACTGCTCCCCTGAGATCAGCTAAGCCTGTCTTCTTGACCAGTTGTAGACCATAAACCCTGCCTCCCTGTTTATCTGCATGTAGTAACCTTGTTCAACTGTGTACAGTAACCCACCTCTCCATTCAACTCTATATCATAAAGATGCTAAGCTTCCAGGGCGCTGTGATCTAACAGAGCTCTCAGTCCTCTTGTTCCCAGCTTTCCTATGTGTCCGTCTGTCTGTTTTTTCTTCATTCCCTTGCTGTCCCAGTTAGGTCCAAGTCCATGCTAGGATACAGCAGCTCATACATGTAAAAGCAAACTTTAAAAACTATTGAACGTAACTTGCCACAAGCTGGGGAGATGCCTCAGCAGGTGAATTACTTGCTGTACAAGTGCCAGGACCTGACTCTGAACACCTGGCACATATATAAAAACTGTGAGGGTGGTACACTAGCCTATGATCCTGGTTCCAGGAGGGGACAGAGGCCGAAAAAGCCCAGGGCTTGCTCAACAGTCAGCCTAGCCAATTGTGAGCTCCAAGTTCAGTGAAAAGCCATGTCTCAAGAAGTAAAGTGGACAGCAATACAAGGCAGGTAATATTGATCTCTGGCCTACACATACACACACACACACACACACACACACACACACACACACACACACAAATGATTTGCCACAATCTTCTTTGAAAATCTTGTTTTGATTTCTTGGAAAAAGCTTCAAGACTCATCTTCAGTTGGGGAGCGGGAGCGTGATGGGGATTATCCTAGTTTTTCAAATCACAAACTATTTGGGGGCCTCTAGGTAGATCTCTGTGTCTGGGAGCATCAACGTGAAACAAGCAGGCTTCGGAATATGACACCTCCAAAATGTGGGAATGAACATATTCTCGCCATGCCAGGCCGGCAGCCAGGCGCATGCCATTCACTCATCAAGCAGGCAGTGACCCCCCTACACCACAGACGGCATGCCAAGAGTTGGGCAGAGCAGAGCAGAAATGACGCCCAAGACACCTGCCCTCCTGCTCCAGTGCCAAGCGATCAGTGTGAGGAATCAGCTGTGAGCCCACCGCAGCCGAGATGGCAAAAGAACCACAACTCGGCTGCAAAATAAGTTTGGGGGATTTCATTTCTTCTCTTACAGATTTCCTGTTTTTCTAATCTCACATTTTGCAGTTGATAAGCCAAGAGTTCACCGGTAAGGTGCCAAAAAGCACATCATAATATCATAATCCAGACATTTCAGCTCTTTGGTTGTACGTCCCTACTAAGAAGGGGATTGATAGTATGAATAAGTTGGGAGGTAGAGGAACAAATGGTACCATATATACATACATACACACATACACACATACATACATACATACTTACAGATTCTATTGATAATGTCTCATTTCAATTTTTCTTTTTTTTTTTTTTTTTTTTTTTTTTTGGTGGCATGGGCTCATGCAGTCCAGGCTGTCCTCAAACTGAACGTAGCCAGAGATGACTTTGAACTCTGGTTCTCTCACCCTGACTCCTGGATGCTTATATGATAGGCTCGCTTCTTTTACCACTAATTTTAATGTCTATGAGCCCTGTTTCTCAGGTAATACCAAAGGAAAGTTAAGAAGCAGGGGCAAAAAAATAAATGTATTTCTGTCCCACCAATATTTTATTGTCACACTCTCCAACAGGCAAATGTGTTTTAAATGAAAGGTATTAGTCACTGGTTCCACCCTTAACGTCTCTTCCAAATGAAGGATATTTTTGGTAAACTTGTCTCTCCAACCTCCAGATTCTGTCTTGGGCAATCAATGAGAAAACATTTTTTGACAAGTCAAATGTCTGTGATTAAGAGGAGAAATGGCCCTCTCTATCCAGAATATGTAGCTTACTCATTCTCAGTCCCTCAAGATATCAATCTGCATTTCACTGCAGACACAGCCCAGGTGTCTTGGTCAGTGCACATATTAAAGGCTCCATCCTCCTGCTGCTTAGGAGAGAGATTTAACATTAGCTCCTGTTAGATGTAAAGGAACAACCTTCTCCATTGAAAGAGAAATTTTATTTCTCGGGGAGAAAAAAATACGGCATGCAGTCACTCCAATGCATTATGAACCTGCTATTGCGTGTGGGATTTATGGTCGAGGTCTCTTCTCTCCTGTAAGGATTCTTCACCTCTAAAAGGCAGAATTAAAGATTTCAGAACTACCCAAAAATAAAAGTTCCATGGACCTTCAGTGCCATCTAGTGGTCATACTCTGTCATGTCTCACCAATGGTTTTCTCTAGGAATTTGAAGAGATTGAGAGGCCCTGGCACAGAAAACTCAGAGTTCTAAATGGGCTTGGCAGTAAACAGCGTTGGCCCACACCAGAACTGTTGTGCCTGGAAACAGTGTTCTGGATACATGACATTTCCATACTGGCTCCCAGAGAGAGCTGCAACCAGATCCCATAGCCACCCCTGTTTAGTCATCTGCTGGAAGCAAGCTGTCTGAAGTGCATGGTGTGCGTGTGTGTGTGCATGTGCGTGTCTGTCTGTATGGTGTGTGTGTGTGTGTGTGTGTGTGTGTGTGTGTGTGTGTGTGTGTGTGTGTGTGTGTGTGTGTGTGTGTGTGTGTATGGTGTGTGTGTGTGTGTGTGTGTGTGTGTGTGTGTGTGTGTGTCTGTGTGTTGTGTCTGTGTGCCCACACAAGGGGAGCCTGAAATGCTCCATTGCCAAGTGGCATCAGGAAGGGACATATGCAGAATCACACTACACACGACTTCTAAATTTAAGCAATCTGTCAGAACCCTGCACTAGAGAGGCCTTCTTCCTCTGAACTATGGTTTAAAGGTTTAAACACAGAAGCCAGGTATAGTCCACATGAAAGTCGGGGAATGGGACCGTCCAGGGGTGTGACAGACAGCAGCTTCTGCCCTTGATGGAATGTGATCTGAAACCTGCCAGCTTCATGGAAGCAGCGCCTCCATCTCATGCCTCCTCTTCAGCCCTATACTTGCCAGAAGCACAGAAGCCAAGTGGTCAGAGGCCGGAGGACTTGGCCTATGGATTGATTCCCCTTCCTTTTCTGTCAAGCCCACCACTCAGAAGTCACACTTTAGCTGTTGTAATTTGAATCTTCGATGTCTCCCTAAGAATCATGTTTGAATACAAGGTCCCAAACCTGTGACACTATGGAGAGGTGGTGTAACTTCTAAGGGGTGGGGTCTATTGGCAGGAAGTTAGGCCATTTGGAGCATGCCATTGAGGTGCTATTAGGACCCCGTCATCTCTTCTTGTTTTTAGGCTGCCATGAGGGAACCTGACCTCCTCCATTTTGTGTGTTCCCACCATGGTGTAGTATGAGGCCACAAGTCCAAAGCATAGTCACCATGGATGGAAACCATGGCCCCCAAGCCACGCCTTTTTCTTAGAAAATGTCGTCTTCTTATATTTTTGGTTGTGAACCTAGCCTTTAACGGCTGAGCCATCTCTCCAGCCCAGAAAATGTCATCTTCTGATCTTGTATCTGAGAGCTGGCTAACACAATGGCCCTCAGCCTTGAGGGGAAGGGAGAACTCAGACGTAGATGGAAACAGATTCCATAGCACGCCAATCTTTTGTTTTTGCGAAGGAGGGAGTTGGAGAGGATGAGAAACCATTGTTGACACTGTAAGGCTCACAACATCCAGGAAAGAAAGTTCAAGCCATGCCTATCATGGAGATGCTCTCAAGATCCAGCCAGTGGCTGAGTGTGGTCACAAGCACCGCCCCTACTCCCTTCAACCCAAGAGACCATGCAATCAGCAGCCACTGCTGCTGCA